CAAACCAAATCAAATATATTTATATTATTATATTTTAAAATTTATATTAATAATTATATTGTATTCAAATTTAGTTTGATTCGGTTCAATTCAATTTGAAATATTTGCAAATATTTTTATTTAGTTAGAGTTAGTAGTTATTTTTAATTTATTTAGCTTACAATTTCAAATATTTATTTGGTTCGATTCAAATCCTAAATACCTATATATTTATAAATAACCGAACTGTGGCCACTCTAATGCTCCTCATCCGTCACCCTTAATGTCTGCAATACTCTGTCAGAGTTACATTTAGTCACCTTAATGTCTGCAATCCTCTCTCAGAATTACATTTAGGGTGTTCGTTTGAAGTTTGAATTTTAAGTTGGAATTTAAATAGTAAAAAAATTAAATTAAAATAATAATACAATGTGATGTAAATAACTATTGGTATAATATTTGAATGTACAATTGATTTTTAATACAATATAAAAAATAAAAAATAAATATTTGAATTGATATTTTAGGAAAATAAAAATTGTACTCTCTCCCTGTCCCAAACAGTGGTGCAACATTTGTTTTTTGCACAGGTTTTTAGGTGGGTAATATTAAGTAGGATAATTTAGAAATTAAATGATATGATAGAGAGAGAAATGCATATTTTATTTTTTTTTATTTGGATAATACGAAAAAATAAAGTGTGGGATAGATATTAAGTATAATTAGTTATTTTCTATTTTGAAAATATTGCAGGATGTTTGGAATATATTATAAAATATATATATATATTGTAAGATGTTTGGGATGGAGTATAAATTTGTCAAAATCCTTCAGACAAATACACCCTTAAATTTATTCACCCATTTCGCTCAATCACACACCAATAAGACAGGGACCAGATGTTTCTCGATTTTTTCTTCTTGAATATTCACCAAATTTGATCAATTTGGGCTATTTTGAATTTGGACCTCCTGTTTGGTGAGCTCAAATCAAATAAGCTGCAAATGCCCACCTAATTCCTGTAAATGATCGGACCACTTGCAAGAATAGGCCTTTCTTTACGGTAAAATTTCCCATAACTTCTCTAAGATTTCATAAAAGTTGTATGACACTCCCTTATAGTTTAAAAAACGTTGCATAAAACTTCACCACCATGAAAACTCCCTTGTACAATGAAAAGATGATTTCTTATCTGTATGTTTTGCATGGCGGAGAATTTCATGCAATACTTTTTAAAGTATAAACAGCGTCATGCAACTTTTTAAAGTAAAGTGGAAATTTAAACTGAATTATAAAACTACAGTGGAATTTCATATAACATTTTTTAAAGTACAAAAGGACGTCATGCAATTTTTAAAATAAATAAGAATTTACATTGAATTTCAAACCGCGAAACCACAAGGGTCAATGCGAATTAGGCAAGTCTTTTATAGTCACCTTAGTCTTTTTTATAGGCTATTAAACTAAAGTTCAAAAGTCAATTAAATAGTTTAACAAGGCCTTTTTTTTTTTTTAAGGGTTTGAAGAAATATTTTGTAAGAGAAAAAAATGTAATTTTTTTGGAAAACGCCCAGTTCAAACAGTAAACCTCGAATTTTTGGTCAAAAGAAACAAACAATTGAAAATTCATTTACCACCCGTACAACATTTGTCACAAATGTCCTCTTCCCATATGCATTGGCGGATGTACATCGAGGTCCAAAAAAATGTACAATCATTTTGTGAAGACAAGTGTAGATTTTAGAGATTTCTTTGCTATTTTTTATGTTGATAAATAAGTTCGACTTACTAATTCAATTGAATCTATTTTACAATATTTTCAATACATACCAACTAAAATGATGACTCATCAAATTAACATATTAGTTCAATGGTTGCGGTATCTTTACTTTGAAAGATCTTTTTCTGCTATGAAAATTAAAGTGATTTGCTATTCAAAAAATAAATAAAATAAAATCTAAGCTATTTTATACTTCCTCCGTCCCAGATACGATACCGTGTCTGCTACAACTCGGTATTTTAGGAGGGGTGTAATTAATAGATAATTAAGAATGTATTAGTGAAAATAATTATGCTATAATATAAATAATTATAAATTAAGATTAAGATAACTAATTAGTTTAATTTAAATTAAAAAATTTAAAATGAGATTAAAGTGTAAAATCATTTTCTAAAAAAGGAAAATGACATGGTACGTAGAACGGACAGAAACAGCAACGTGAACATGGTATCTAGGACGGAGGGAGTAAATTTTTCAAAATATACCAACTAGAATAATAAACTTTCTGACAAGAAATAGACCCTACGCCCTTTTACATGTATTATGTATTATGTATATATAAAGTGTTATTTTTAAAGTTTAAGCCAGCCTCGACGTGATAATGTGAGGAAGCATATGGAGCTAACATATGATGCAGTAGAAATGGTAGAGGATATATAAAATTGCTACTGACCTCAAGTAATTCAATGAGTAGAATTGACTGTTTTACTTGATGCATCGAAACTCTGGCATTATTCCAAAGTAGCATTCAACCCGTTAGTTTATTTCTTTCTCGCAGATGGAAATGGCTGCATCACAATTCAATGAAACAGCAAAAAAAATACCTTCAAGTACTCATTAATATATTTACAATGAAACCTTGAAGAGAATCGAAGAACGGGGTGCACCTGAAGCAGAAATGGGGCAGCTAATTTTTGGCTGCAAATCTACATCTAATTGACATGATTGTCACCTCATTCTCTGTTTTAAGAAATGAATACGATGTAACACGACATGCATACAAATGGAGCAGGATATGACATTCGGAGTATGCAAAAAACCTGAGGCAAGTATTGCTGCAGCAGCCAACAACAAAACTAGCAACTGCAATGGTTGTTTTGTATACAATCCCCTATCCCTGTGAGTATCTTACCATCCATGCTTGCAACAAATGTGAAATCATAATTCTTTGATTTCCTGCCGAAAGCAAAGTTAGTTGCCCAAAAGTCAGGGGGGTTGTGTTAGTGTAGTATAAGTATACCTGCTGCCTTAACATGTTAAAATATAAAAATCATTAGATAGCATAACAGAGTAATTGAAGAGGGGGGGCGATGTGACGAAAATAACTATGAATCTTGGCTCTTGGTGAAATTTATGATAATAAAATTAAAGTGGTGTTAATTAGCTAGGTAGCTAGCTGCAAGTTATTGTTCTTTACTTGGAACCATACAACTGTCACTATCTATATGTTTTCCCTATGTTTTATGATTCTATGTTACTCAGTTTCTCTTCAAGCCTATCAAAAGTACAACAATGGCATTAAATATTTCAATTGAAACATCACAGCTGAGAAAGTTATGGAAGATTTCCAGAGAAACATTAACACAATATTGCAATTAAGAGAGATGATTCTACCTGCTCAAAGAGTTCCTTAAGTCGACTGGACTCTTTTCTCAGTTTCTTCCAACTTCCCACTCTTTTCTTCAATTTGCTTTTCAGATTCATAGGCTTCCAGTGAATGGATAAAATCATAACAGTGTATCTACCATTTAATTAGCTTCACTTCTTTGATTAGATTTGGTTATATTATTGCCGGTTTGCAAGATTACCTTTTTAACTTTTTCCATTTCTAAAGTAAGAGCCTCTATTTTAGCCGTATCCTCAACCAGAACAGGGGTGGGGTTTCTGCGACAATTAAGTTAGCTTCTTCATTAGCTTTCTGAGCAGACTCATCCGGTTTGCTTTGCATAGCTTCCACGGATTGTTGCATCTTTGATCATTCCTGGGCCTTTTCTTCTTCCAGGCAAGCCTGTGTATGATACAGTGGGAATATGTCACAATTTAATATCCTGCTGACATGATAATAGTTGGTATATCCATCACTGCATAACTTTGAGATTCATGAGTCTTTATCATATAATCTTACGATCTCAGTTATAGCTGCACATCCATTTATCTGAGACACACTTTTGTGTTTGTGATAAGAACATTAATCAGTCACCATGGTGTATATCTCTCCCATGATTGAGTAGAGCTTATAATCACTAGCTTAAGATAAAATAAACACCAGAAACTACCAACAAAATTGTCAACTGATGAGGAATCTTCTTTTCTTTTTTTTATTTCAACTTCTATATGTTCCATCTCCTATCCTTCTAATTTTATCATACCCTATTGTTTTATAAAATATCGTTCCCAAGATATCTGCATTATATATCGTAAGGTTAAACAGCATGCATAGATGACATAGGAATATACCATCATTTATCTGGGGTAAAGTATAATGCATACCCACTCAACCAAGGATTTGGACTCCGCAAACTGCCTCTTAAGCTCTTGATTCTGCAGATCCAATTTCAAAGCAAATTCAGCATCTGCATTTGACTTCAAAAGTTTGGTCAACATATACAGGAATGAGCCAGAATATTCCCTCACTGTCAAGAATGATAAATCCACCATCCAGGGATTCTTTTAGTTTCTGGAGTTTCTTTTCTAGCACTAGATCAACATGAGTATGCCTTTATGTAGCGATCATCCAAATTCAAGGATACAGCAATGCCCATACGTGCAGTCGAATGGACAGACAATTGACTGAAAGAAAAACACAAGCACAATTAACTCAAGACACCTATCTATAACTAAGATATATATCTCAAAGTTGAGAATTATCATATACCGAGAAGTTTGCATTCCTAATAAAGACTGCCAACCAATGGATCCCAGTTTCATTTGTTGCCTAAGGACTGCAACAGCAGCAGTAGCACCAGTAGTATCATTGACAGCCAAATTTCCACCACCATCAGCCCAAAAACCACAGAATTGCAAAAATGAAATTTCATAAAGCCCCGAAAAACACAGAATAAAAGAGAAAGGGGGGCATTAATAGAAATAAAACTGTGCATTTTGTAATATTGAAGCTCTTGCTAAATTCCCAAAGATTCACTGCCATATATAAAGCAACCAACTGCATGTAAATAAGAGAAGGATGCGGCATTACAAACTAATACTAGGTAATTCAACACTCCACAAGAAACCACAGTGACAACAAAGGATTTTTGCATTGGACAAAATTGATAATCAAACAGCCAATGTCCCCTGAAAACTGCATCAAAATTGACAAAAATCATTCATGCTGATGTAATAGAAAAAACCTCAAGTAATTGGCCGCTCAAATAGCTGGATAACTAATACATGGGAAATTTTTCAGTTTTTGACCTAGCTTTCTTCCCTGAGAAGTTTGATTTTGGTGGAGGTGTTCTGGAACTATTGTGATTAGTGTCCCAAGCGTTCATTCTCCTAGATAATCTATTCCGATCACTACCCTGAGTATCCGTTCTCATAGAGAACTTATTCAGATTACCATCCCGAGTATTCATTCTCTCAGAAAACCTATTCTGGTCATCACGCCGAGTATTAAATCTACTAGAGAAACTACTCTGATTGCCATCCTGAGTATTCATTCTCCAAGAAAACTTACTCTGATTGCCATCCCGAGTATTCTTTCTGTGATCACCATACTGAGTATTCATTCTCCCAGAAAACTTACTATGATCACGATCCCGAGTATTACTTCTCCTAGAAAACCTACTCTGATCACCATCCTGAGTATTCATTCTCCCAGAAAACTTTCTATGATCACGGTCCCGAGTATTACTTCTCCTAGAAAACCTACCCTGATCACCATCCTGAGTATTCATTCTTTTAGGAAATCTACTCTGGTTGCCATCCCAAGTACTCATTCGCTTAGAATGCCTTGTTGAGAGTTCCGATCCACTTTCTTCTGCATCCCTTTTAGTTGTCCTCCCCCTCATTGCACTTCTGCAGTTCCTCTCTTCAAATGCATCATTTCTTTTTGATCTCCCTCTTCTATATTTCTTTTCATCATCAAAGCTATCCTCACAGTCATCACTCTCATCACTTTCATGTTCCTCCATGTCCGCTTCATTCTCCTCCTCATTCTCTACATCCTCCAACTCCTCCCCTCCTTTCTTTACATCATTGCCACTCTTTTCTTGTGCACCTTTTGCTTTCTCGTTGTCCTCCGGAGCATTCATCAGTTGAACATACTTAAACCGCAAATCCACCAAAGGATGCCTCTCAATCAGCATCCCTCTCTTATATGCCTCCTTCAAAACCACCGTATACGTCCTAATCTTGTTCGACACATAGAAAATCCCTGGATGCAACAAACATGTGCGCTTAAACCTCGATGATCCCAGGCCTAAAAATTCCCCAAAAAACAGAAGCTTATCCCTCTCTGCCTTCTTCCCTACAAAGAGATTAAGCAACTCATGCAACACTGCCACTGCCCATTTATCTGACTCGTCACTGTTCGCCTTCAGATGCTTTGCATTCTCATAAGGCGAAATGTAGGGCAACTTCTGCCACTCATCCACCCATTTCTCGTACTTCTTATCCATCTCAAATACTTTTGAATACTGCAAAGGGAACTGAATGTTTCCATCCTTAGCTCCTTTCTTTTCCATCTCCGAAACTGCTAATTCGTCAGTCCAGCAAACCAGCTCAAGTGCCTTCCCATTTCCTCTCAGATTCTTCCCATCAATCACCCGAAAGTAATCCGGAAACTCAGGAATTATTGCTTTCTCGTAGTCCTGCGGTAACCCTAGTTCCCATTTCAATCGCTCCAGCACAAAGATAGGGATTTTGGTAATTCTGCTCAACATCAACAGCTTCAGAAGGCGGCGCGCAATTTCCTCCTTGTAGTTCACACTTTGGTAAAGCAAAGTTTCTTCCGAATTCAAGGAAATAATGTCGGGGGTGAGTTTAATGTCCGGTAGGATATGGAGGGAGCTCGGGTGGAACTCCTGAAGCGCCGATGGATATTTTCGGATGAAATCAATCGGTCGGAATGGCATTTGTAGCTTTCTTCTCGAATCGTTTATGACGGATAACGCCACCGACTGTGACGGCTCGGAAATGATCAAGTTTTTCAGATTGAGAAGGGGCTGGAGGTGCATCTCGCGCTCCACAGCGTGGTCGAGTCCACGGTCCCGCGGGCATATTATGGAAGATACGGCGTCGTACAGAGTGCGAATGTGGCCGCAGTGTTGATTGAAGCGGCGGCGGTGGCGGAGGAGGGCGGCGGATTGGGATTGCATGACAAGATACGGACGCTCTGATTTTTAACCGGCTGGGGATATGGGAGAAAAATGCCAAACCTATTCCGCAATCGGTTCTGTCACCCTACCTGTACTGCACTAAATTTTCCATCCCCCAGGAGCCCCGAGTTCTTCCACCATACATTCAGCCTGCCGGAGAAGAAAGGCAGACACTCGAAGACGATGGAGAAGAGACGATGGCTGTGTGATTAGGGTTTATCAAAATTAATATATTCAAGTGTAATTATATCCATTTAAAAATAGGCCTAACTTACAAATAATTTCCTAATTCAATTTCTTATTCATTTCTTTGTACATTAATTTCATCTTTTCCTATTTTTACATATTAATTTTTTTCCACTCCTTATTAACATGAAAACCTTGTCATACCTTTATTTAATTTCTTTCATCAATTCTTTTTTTTTTTTTTTTTTTCCACCCATGAGGCACTAATTTTTACGCTTGAACTCTATTTTATATTCATTAAAATATAAAAATAAAATAGAATTAATTATTGACAACAAAAATATATAATCATTGCTACATAAAATCACAATAAATTAAATATTGTGATTTGTGAATGATATAAAGTGATTAAACATAAAAATACATCTTAATTCATAGTAAGAAATTTTATACTCTCTCCCTCCCGGAACTAAATATCATTTGTTTTTTACACGTAGTTTTAGAAATATTAGTATTATATTGGAAGATAGTATAAATAAAATAGAAATGATTAAAATAATTTATTAGTACATGTGATGTAAAGATAATGACATTTGTATAATATATTGTAAGTTGTAAGGGTATTTGTAATATTAGGCAAATAGTACAGCTACTAAAAACTTTGTTATGGGACAGATTAAAATAAAAAAATAGATACTTTGTCACGGGATGGAGAGAGTAATAAAATAACAATTCAAGTCAAATAAAATATAGTTAAGACTAAAAATTTTTTATAAAAATATTAGTCATTCTATATCGAAGTATCTAATGTCAAATCCAAAAGTACAAATATTTATTCAAAATAATTTATTTTTTTTTATGTCAAAATACAAATGGAAATAGAATCTCTATTGAATTAATGTAGTGTTACAATAGTTACGGCTATCAAATGAATCAGGTCAGGTTGGATTCAGCTTTGGATAAGTTACAAGCGGATTAAAAAATATTTGACCTGAATCTAACTCATTTAATTAAAAATTACAATTTTTACTAACAAAATTTTCAAATGCGGGGGTTTGGACCTTACGGTCACAAATCCAACCCCTGTACCACCAGGTCATCCCTTACGGGACAAATTAAAGTTGGGTTAATTTTTTACAGCCATAGTATATGTAATATAATGAATAAACATTTCGAATACTCTATAATAATATCATTACCTCGGTAGAAAAAGTGTGTAAGTTGAAAAAGTATAAATTTTTATTTGAAAATATATTTTTCTCTCTTGTCTAAAGAAATATTTCTCTTATAAAAACTAATTAATATGTTATTATAAATCATAAAAATATTGTTGAGTAGTTGGTACATTAATTTTATATGCAAAAATTAATACCAAAAAATAAATAAATAAATAAATACAAAAATACACATAGCTCTTACATCATAATATAAAATATTTATGAAAAAAAAAATATTGATCTTAATTAAATATAGTATAAATAATATAATCAACAAGTATTCTTAATTAAATATAGTATAAATAATATAATCAACAAGTATTTTGAATACTCTATGAAAAGTATTATTACCTTTATGCCTAAGTATATAAGATGTAAAAAATGAATTTTCATTTGAAAAGTATTTTTCTCTCCTATAAAAAATATCAATTATAATAATCTAAAAATATGTTTTCTCTTAATTTTCATTGTCGTTGTTATTTTGCTGAAATATTATAATAATAATTTACAATTCACGATATTGTTCAATAGAAAAAAAATATTAGAATTAGATATTATATACATTAAGATTTTGGATTACATTGGATAGATATAAATATAAATATAAATAGAAAATTATTTAGAGAGTAAAATAGGAATTTTATAGATAAAAAAGTATAATAATTACATGGAGAGATACGGAGCTAAAAAAGAAAAATTACGTAAATAGAGATTGACAAGTAAACTAACTAAGATTTGGGTATTCCAAGAGAATTAAAAATTAAAATAAATTTCATTGTTAATAAAGGAGAAAAAAAAATAGCTAAGGATGTGTTTGTTTGTGGATTTAATTTTTAAATTTGAATTCTTTTAAAAAAATTAAATTTAAATAATTATTTGATGTGATATAAATAGATATTAATGTAATATTTTGAATATAAAATAAAATTTAATTATAAAAAATAAAATTGTTGATGTATTTTTTCAACAATAAAAAGTAAAATTCGAAAATAGAAAATTATCTTCGAATTTAATATAATTAGTGTTTGAGATTAGAAATCTCTAAACACCGTACAGTACATAAGAAAATATTGGAAACAATAAATGCTACAAACTGAAAATTAAATGATGATCCCAAATCACTGACTCTGTTGTCGTTTGAAGATGATTGAAAATACCTTGCCGGAATAAACTCAAATCCTTAAATACTCCTCAGAAACGGTACTTGGAACCGTCGCCGAACGGTTACAACGCCTCCTCTCAACTGCCTACTAATTCTTCTCTTGCTGACACGTGTGCCCAACCGTCTTGTTACCCGCGTAGCCCAACCGACCAAGCTACTATTCTCACTCGTTCTCCGCAACTTCCAACCTCCACAATAACTGATTTAGTCGTCTCCCTACGGACCAACCGACCTGCCGTCCGACCGCAGACCAACTGACCTGACCGTCCGATCGCAAACCAACTGACCTGGCCGTCCGACCGCAAACCAACCGACCTGGCCGTCCAACCGCAGACCAACCGACCTGCTTATCCGACCGCGGGCCTTCCGACCTACGGACTATCCGACCTGCGACCATCCAACCTACAGACCATCCGACCTGCGGACCATCCGACCTGCGGACCATCCGACCCACCTATTTTCTTAGAAATACGTCCAGTTCACCCAATTATCTTGAAATACCCTTTAATTAGTCTAACAGACTCAATTATAGGCCCACATCTTCATCTAACTTGGGCCCTTTAATCTAATTCTAAATTTCATACGTAACAACTTGCCCGCCGCCATCGGACTTTCAAACGCCATTCCTCAATCGCCGTTTGGAAGTTCGCAATCTATATATAATAACACCCCTTCTGTGGAACCGCCTCTGCAACTGCAACCAGTTACTGCAACACATTGTGTGCCACAAAACTCTCCATCTTCACTACTGGCTTTTGCTGTTCTCAATCTCTGCAACTCCAAATCATGGCAAATTAATCATTTGACGGATCAGTTCCAAAAACAGCTTTTGTTGCGACGAAAATGCTCACTCCTACTATTCGCCCATACTGCACCACTGCTGAAGACGCCAACCGAATGAGAGAGGTCTTGGAGGCAGGAAACCCACTCGCTGTCAATAATCCCAACTACAACGCTATCCGTCTCCATGACAGTATCAAAACGCACCTGACGGATCCCAAAGATCCCTACCGCACCTGGTACAAAAGGATAGCAAAACGTTTTCAAGATCAATGGAAACGCCAACAAATCGACCAGGCAATACTTCTGTCTACTCTCCCATGTCATTTACATGAGAAAGTTCTTTTGGCGATGTCGGCATTCTGGCACTCGGAGATGGCCGTTTTCCTCCTTCCTACAGCCCCCATCGGCCCCACACTCATGGATGTGGCCATGATCGCAGATCTGCCAATTGTGAGAGAAGACCCTGTAATGGGCGCCCTAGATGGGCAAGAGCCCAGCGCAGACCATTTGGGCTGGTCTCTGACTGGCGTAAAGGAATGGGGCTGGACCAAATTTCTAAACAACCAGCAAGGAGCAGACGGGACCCCTGTGATCTACCGTGAGCATACTGTCTTCCTGCTCTTTTGGCTCTGTAAGTATGTCATAATTTCCCCTTTGAAATGTGTCATTCCCTCTCATCTTGACTTGGCCATACATATAGCCTCAGGTCGTTTCTTTTCCTTGGGTACTCTCTTCCTTGCCAATCTTTTTGAAGGGCTATCCAGGGTTAGCACCCGCCTTACAGATAAGGATGGCAAAAAATTAGATACCGCCGCGTCGGGCCCTTTTTGGTTCTTGGAATTGTGGTTCCGTCTTTATTTCCCCGAAACGTTCCAACTCGGCCAACCCCCCGTTGCTCCACCACCTGACAAATCTTTGGGAATAGCCCTTAACCGACTTTGTGTAGGTCGCAACAACCTCCAAGCATCCGACCCTATCATAACTGCCATTCTAGCCGATGACCGTAGTAACTCCCGATTTTACATGCATAAAAGGTATGTCGGTTATGCATCCGACCTGTTCTGGCCATTCCCTATATCTTCACCTTTGTCCGAACTAGACCCACCTCCTCATCCAACTTACTCATTCTCCTGGGATGCTGCTCTTAAACCCAGGTCTTTATTTATCAGTAAGAAAATTGATAAGAAAGGCCACAAAGCGTTTTATACCTTCAGCTATCAGCCTCAGTTTTTGGCACGCCAATTCGGATGCTAACAAGGCTTACCTGGCTCCATCGCCTGTCCACATCTAATAATTCAAAGTTCGGACGGGAAAGTCATCCCTGAATTAATCGCTCCTTATGTATCCCAACTTACCAATTACACAACTTTCAACTCCTACATTCATTTCCGAACTTTCCAGCTTCAATTGAATCCTTCCGCGAATGGTGGTCGGTCACCTGGGCCTTAATTGCTCCTGACAAGGATCGTCTGTTGAGCATTCTCCTACCACAGCCTGCCTTGGTTTTAGGGGCGGCCGGATTGACCAACACCCGAAGAAAAGTGGTCGCCCCAGGCACTGGATCAGGCGCCCCACCGAGGAAAAGAAGAGCTTCTCAGACTCAAGCTATCCCCTTCCCTGAAGAAAATCAACGGACTTTGAAAGACCGTTCATCAGGTCGGTCACCCGTAAAGACCCGACCTCGACCAGGCATGCTCTCATAATCCTAACTTAATCTGACTTTTTCCTTAACATTTCATTAGTCATCATTCTTATATTCAGGTCCGACCTCGGCCAGGGCGACCGTCCAGGCTGCTTCAAACCCAAACAAATCACCAGAGTCACCAACTAACGAACTTCACGAACCTGAACCCCCGACCAAACGACGGACCTCAATACAAGCGCCTTCACCAGCCGAATTGGCAACAAAAGGGACTTCATCCAACAGTGAGGCGACTGCCTCACAGATGGGTAGGTTGCCTTATGTCGCTTCAGACCCATCTCTTCCCAACGTGGAGCCAATGGCCACGCATGCATCCGTCTCTGCCGCAGTCACCTCTGGCGTGGTCGCCTCTGCTGCGGTCGCCTCTGCTGCAGCTTCTCTTGAGGCGGTCGCCCCAATTGACAGAGATATCTCTGATGCAGCCGACGAATCGGCCATTGCAATACCAGTCGCCCATCCTTCCAGACCTATAACAATCCTGGCACCTTCTGCGACCACGATCCGTCCAGAAGTAAGTAAAATTTTCACAATTAATTCTCGATATTTGTGCTTCATGTAATTTGAAATAAACATCCATTCTTCCAGGGATGTCCTGATTTAGCCCCTTTGTCGGCTATTCCAATTCCGACGGACGTCCGAACTATAATTGCACAGGCAGTTAATCAACCCTTCCCCGACTTGGGATCAGACTTGCTTGACGGTCTTGTTCAAGCCATTGGTGGCCTTTTATTTCAAATTTCTTTAGAATCGGTTGCCGCCCCCATTTTTCACCGACTGATGGAGCGACTATCTGAACTTCGAAATGACATCTTATTCGCTCAACTCCTGTCAGTTGGAGCATCCTTACCCAACTTGGACCAAATAAGTCTGGAGGTTTCCCTAGCCAAAACCAGGGAATCTATTCAACAAGTGACTGAAAGACTGGACGACCTCCTTAGTTCTAAGACTAACATAGATGAATCAATTCGAAAGAAGGAGGCGGAATTAAGAACACTCCATCAAGAAAAAATTGTCTTAGAAGGTCACATAAGTGACGAACAACGCCTGATTGATCGGTACAAGAAAAATAAAGCCGACTTGGACCAAGAACTGAAGGTTCATGCCCGATCTCAATTCATAAGGCAATACCAGTCGGCTGCTAACACCAGGCGACTTTCCAAGACAGAGGAAAAATGGTCTCAGATTAAAACCGTTTTAGAGTCTTTTCTATAATATTTTGGAAACCTTGACTCAGTAAATATATTTTTTCTCCTTTTCTTAAGGATCACTTTCCAAAACTCCGACCCTCAAGGGAACAGATCCAACTCATCTCCTTTATAAACACTAGCAGTCCCTTGTAAATCTACGAACAAACGTTTAACCACAAATTAAAACTTGAGCACGCCTGAAAATATTTATTAAAATGCCACACAATCGTCCTCATGTTCCTGTAAACAATTGGCAAGGTGTTATTCAACCCTTTTATGTGGGTAATCATCTGGTTGGAGGCCACGCCGAGGCAGAAAAACCATTCATCGTATTATTCGTCTAATGGAAAACGTGCTGGAAGGATATGAGACCCTTCAAGATATACAAAATCGCGACATTGATAATCATATGGATTTGATTGAACACCATGTGACAGCCATACTCCCAGACCTAGGCTGGGATCATACATTCTCCAATCAGTGCGCAGTCTTCTCGAGATTATGCACTCTTGTCGATCGTGAGTGTCAAGCCGTGACATACATGAAAGCCCGCACGGACTATGATCTAGAAAAAATGCAAGATCAATGGAAAAAGTATCGACCCAACTTAGAGGACCTTATTGATGAAGAACCAGGACTAATCCCTAATCACTGGAATGAAGATTCTGACTCAGAAGAACAAAGCTCACTACATGAGACGTGTCTTATACCTATCCTACCCAATATACCTGCATATACAATAATCAAATAAATGTCATTACTAAAGATTTCAAAGTATATATAATTTACAACTTAATAAATTAAATTATCTACTTACTAGTTGGAGAAACCACAACCAAAATTCAGTACTCTCTGCATCAACAATGGCAAAGGCTAATGGCAACATATGATAATTGGCATCTATAGTACCAGCAATCAACATAACATGCTTGTAATTTGCATATAAATGAGTCTCATTCACACGAATCACATTCCGACAATGACGGTATGCCTCAATACTAAGTCCGAATGCCCATAACACATATCCTAATGTGTATATCTCTTGATGTGTTGCTTCTATATGAGCCCACTCAACAATTGTATTCGATATGTACTTTTGAATTGTTTTTATATAAGTTGAAAATTTTTGTACTGAATTCTCCCATGTCCCATAAACATGCTCAATTCCACGTTTTAATCCATGTCATACCTTTGAATAAGATATATAAAAACCATATCATATTTTCACTGCTCTTTTCACATTCGCCTCGTTTTTCGGATTTCTACTAACAAATCCCTTCAACAAATCCGCTATCATGTTAACATTCAAGTTACTATGTTCCAACGACGCATTATCCGGAATACACGTGTGATTAGACATCACCGTAATAAATTGTCAACGTTCCAAGTGTGGCTTATATGATGCAGTCACACCCCACCCACAACAATTTTTTTCATAATGCTTATACTTTACCCTAAAAATTGTACGGGTGCTCTTTGTCACTGTGTATACTCTCCCGGCCACTCGCACCGAGTAATCCTTTATAGCCATCTGCATTTGCTTTTTATCACTGAATGTCATCGCAGAAATCAAAACAACATTATTTTTTGTGTAGAAATTTCATTTGTAACTGGGAGTATCGTATATATCTTGTAGAAACTCTTCCAGATTCAAATTCTGAAAAAATTTAGTCGAGGGATATTCAATCTCACCCCCTGAAAGTGGGATGGTACGTGTTTCGTGGCATCTTATTGGCCCTAGATCTGGCTATTCTGCAACCTCACCATTTTCTCTATCATCAACTTTTTTTCACTACTATTTCATCACCTGAGTCTCATAGTGATTTTAACTCGCTACATTCATCTTGATTGATTCCCTCACAATCAATATCTAATATTAGTAAATCACCATTTGTTGGCTCATATCTTATGTTGTAATCCACGCTCGAGCATCAATAATTGTATTTGCAGAATTTCTTTAGAATTCAATAAATAATTCCAAACATTTGTAATCATTGGTTGAATTTAAAAAATTGCTCGAGATTAACTACAGTGATGGTAATTAACCTTGATTGTTGAATACACCTGGTCATGCGCCCAACTCTATGGCATTTTCAAAATAATAGAATACTGACGTCAATCTTTTCTTATCACATAAAAAATAATATTTTCTAAATTTTCAAGTGTACTATTACGTCCAATAAAAGTCTTATATTTGGGATCACAATAATATTCTATTATACCAGAATTGCGAATAATATTTTCATCCCAATATAATATAATATCAATATTGCTATTGACACCATACATTTGTTCAAATAATAATAATAAAATATTAATGCTATATATGTAACCAACACATGAAATTATTTAAAAATAAAAAAGATAAAATCCATATTAAATTATCAATATCAAAATAAGTAAACAGAAAATAATAAAATACAAATATAAATATATCACATACTATCTCCGTCCGGCTTTAAGAGTCTCATTTATAATTTGCGTGTTGATCTTTGAATATTAATTATTATATCGAAACGTAATACAAATTAAAAAAAAAAATTGCAAAAAATATATATTTCTATTAGTAGTTAAAAATATTCTTATATTTACTAATAGAAATATATTTATACAAAAAATTATACAAATATAAAAATATTTTTAATATTAAATACAATGACGCAAAATGTAAATGTGACCCTTGAAGCGGACGAAGGAAGTATAATATTGTATAAACATATTGACAATTTTTTAACAATTACAAAACTAACAAAATATTCTAAATCTATCAAAAAATTTATTCTAATAATACATAAAATTTACATGAATAAAATATTATAAATATTCAAGAAGATAAAAAAATAAAAAAAAATAAAAAAAGAGAGAGAATTTACCGCCAGTAAAATGGAGTTGAGAAACTGTGAATACTTCTCGTGTGAACTTTTGTGGTACCAATAAGGTGTGGAAATTGGGATATTAGTATAATGAAAAAAAGAGCTTTTAGAACTTCTTAATTTTACATCCAAAGAGTTATGTCAACTCTTTAAAATTGCTATTAAGGGTGTGTTTGTTGGGGTTTGAATTTTGAGTTGGGATTAAATAGTAAAAATTTTGAATTTGAATAGTTGTATGATTCGATACAATTTGGTTAGACTTAAAGACAGTTATTTAAAAATTTTTATGTACTCTCATTTTTATATATATATTTTTATGATGTAAAAATTCGCAACCGCTACCCGAAAGTACGCATTAAATAAACTCCGATCAAACTTTATTTTCTGCAAACTAGATTTGACATCTATCATTTTTATTTAGTATATCCACGTTTTTATATTGTAGAATATATTTGTCTTTTTATATAAAATTATCACTCATTATTATTAAAATATACTATTTTTAAAATTATATGAAAAATAAATATTTATTATTAAAATGGATATATATATATATTTATCTATATGGTAAAAGAAAAAAAAAAGTTAGGATAAAAATTGAAAAGAAACTTGTGAATAAAATAATGGATTAAAAATAATTAGAAAGAAAGTAGTAATGAATGTAGGTCCCAAAGGCGCCCAATGTGGGGAGAGGTCGGTGCACACTGACAGAGACGCTTACTTCCCAATTTTAAATTAAATTAAATTATTATTATTATTATTATTATTTATTGAATTAGATATCCTTCCAAGTCAAGGCTCCTCTTTCCACTCCTCCTCATCCTCCTGTACTAGCAGCAGTGTGTAGATTGAAGATTACATCCAAATTCATTTCAATCCATCCACATACAAAACTATCACCACCACCACAACACACAGAGGTTGATAATTGCCGTGGAATAGCTTTCTGTTGGATCAGTTGGGTTCTCTAGGGTTTGGGTTTTGGTTTTGGAATTGGTCTTGATTGATTGATGCTGTTCTGATCGGGAGGGAATAGATAGATAGATAGATATATAAGATGGAGACGCAGTATATATCCAGGCACCACAGGCATCAAATCAACGAGAATCAGTGTTCTTCATCTGTTGTCAAGCACATCAAAGCTCCCGTTGACATAGTAATTCTTTCTTTATTGCACTCTACCTGCTCGATGTTTTGTCTCTGGGAATAATTGCACATCTATTATATGTGTATCTATTTATATGACGCTTTTCATTCTGATTCCAAATTGTTTGATTGTGCACTTTTGTGGTTTCTTTCTGCCCTTTGATGAGGAGATGCCATGCCATGCTTGAGAAAAATTCCAATATTTGACAGACTCTGTTTGTGGATGCAGTTAAATTATTGCTTGGCTATGTTAATATTGGATCGGATTTTTGTTTCCTTCGAAATTAAGGAGAATTATTGACTTAAATCTCCATTTCTTGAGATGTGATGTGAGGATCTTCATGTTCCTCCTTCTAGCTAGGATTAAGTCTTGCAAATTTTCTTGTATGAAAATGAAACAACTAGAAACTAATAATTGAAGAGCCTATGGTTTTGGTGGATCTTTAGTGAACTCAAGATGGAACTTGGAATAAAATCTAGTGTGACAAACTGATTTATTAAAGCTCTAGCATTGTTGGTGTTCGTCTAGGTTTGGTCGTTGGTGAGAAGGTTCGACAAGCCGCAGAAATACAAGCCCTTTGTCAGCCGGTGCAGAGTGGAAGGTGATCTCAAAATTGGTAGTGTGCGAGAGGTGAATGTGAAGTCGGGCCTTCCTGCCACGACCAGCACCGAGAGGTTGGAGCTGCTCGATGATCAGGAGCATATACTTGGTGTCAAATTTGTTGGTGGCGATCACAGGCTCAATGTAAGATTTTATTGTTTGTGCAGATATTTTTCTTGTCTATTCCACAACCTCATAAAGTAAATTATTCCCCTTAGTAAAAGTTGTAGCTTTCTTTTACTTTGGGAATTTAGTTTGATTCTAGAATAGTTGAGCATATGTTAAAAGGAAAAGAAAACCTGAGAATTGGAATGGATACTACGAAGGTTTGAGATTCCATAATTCGATTTTGCACACACCAAATCATATTTTCTTAAAGAACATTAATAATTAGATTGGATTTTCAGTTTCTTCCTTATGCAATGTCTTTTTACGAGAAAATTGCAAAAAATATCCTACGCTTATACTCTATTATCACTTTTGTCATGTATTTATCTCGCTGGCAAAATATATCTGCTATTTATGTTCTTTGGCTGCGCGTGACATTCACACAACGCGCCCTTACGCTCGATCATGCACAGCCAAATGATAGGAAATAGCGATTTTTGCAAACATATGGGATATATTTTTCCAGCGAGATAAATATAAGACAAAAGTGATAATGGGGTATACATGTGGGATATTTTTTGAAATTTTTTCCGTCTTTTTATCAATGTAATGTTTCCCGACAAAAGGGATTTTGTTATACTAGATAATTTATTGATTGATCCCATTTTTCTTGCAGAACTACTCATCGATCACCACTGTCCATCCGGAGACAGTGGATGGAATGCCGGTAACTCTAGTGATCGAATCGTTTGTAGTTGATGTGCCCGAAGGCAACACACAGGACGAGACATGTTACTTTGTGAAAGCCCTGATCAACTGCAACCTCAAGGCATTGGCTGATGTCTCGGAACGAATGGCAATTCAAAGCCGGCCGTGAATCCTGTCCAACTACGATCATAAGTCTCTTGCCGAGAATGCAACCAATCAAGCCCGGCAACTCTATCCCTCCTTGTATAATATATAGAGCTTTGTTGGGCTACCCTCTTGGCTCGAAAGTGCTTATATTATATAGCCTTAAGTTTTTAACACTCTTATTCACTTGTTGTTGTGTGTAACCTTTACATATAGTTAGTATACAGCCCCTCGGATAAGTTTTGTAATATGTAATATTTCCATATGAATGAATTTGAACATTATGAGATGTGTATGTGTGTGTTTTTTGTGCAAATAATTCAGGGGGCTTTGCTTTTGTTTATGGTGTTTATAATGAAATTCAATTTGTGGGCATTATTATCCGAAAGGAAATAGGGATTTTTATTAATTGTGGATAATGACCTTTACCTACTCATGCACGACTGTTTTAATCGCATTATTTAAAAAATAATTGTACTTTTCTTTTTTATAAATAAGGTTGGGCGGTGAGTGCACTGCACTGCACTTCATTAAGAAAAAACATGGTGTGAAGTCAATAAAAGTTGGTTTGCCTCTTAGTCAAACTCCGCGTTGAATACTGGAGTAGTAAAAGTTTTACCCTTTTAGAGTTCGCCTTACATTACCTCCAAGTTGTTTCAAAAGGGATTTGTCTAGGACAGTAAGGATGATCTAACGGTGAGAAGATGAATTTGTGATATGAAGGACGAAAAGTATGATTTGGTAGTGTGAAGATGATTTTTTATCCGGAAATACTTACGGATTTTCATATTATTGAAAAAATAAAAGAGTGTTGATACATATATAGTGTCAACATAGACACTACATGACATTTATGTGGATGCAACGTGGTTCATTCAAATATATTTACCTGCTGTAATTTGTACCTATAAATATGATTGAAAGCGATGAAACGAGACACACTTTATTTACGCCATCATCAATCACCCATCTCTTCTCTCTCTCTTTAATACTTCTTTACTTTACATAATACATACACACATCATACGTACATATATATATGTATATGAATATTTCATATAGTAGTACATACATATATTTATATATATTGTTATAAAATAAATGCGAAATAAACTTGATTTTATTAAAGATAAAACAACAAAAATCAAACAAATGTTTCAACTAGGATTTGATTTTGGGCTCAACCCCCCAAATCACCCAAGAAACACAAAATCGGTACAAACACAAGTAAACCGCGACAAACTCAAAAGAACCAGCCCTAAACCTTAACCTAAACCAACAAAACAACCCCACAAGATAAGGAAAACAAAGTGCGGCAAAACAGTGGCCTAAAGAAGAGAAACCATACAAACCGAAGGCAAAACTTGATATCAAACCCCTTGCAGTTCGAATCGACACAGGGGAAGGAGAAACGCCTTTGGAAGCTCCACAAAAACAAGAGGAAAGACTCATCAGATGATCGGAAAAGGCGCCGGTGTCAAGCTGTAAATCGCTATGAAGAAGGAGACGTGAGAGAGGAGAGTGCTTAGAGAGAAAAATTATGCATAGATGTATGTGAGTGAATGAAACGGCCCAGCACTCCCTCTCCACCATTTATGTGGAGGGTTTAATGAATGGATGGCTTAGATTCAATACGCAGATCAAACAGCCAGGAGCAAGTCTAGTAAAACAAACATGGGTCACTAGCTTGGGTCGGGTCACGGGCGCCGGGTTACGGGTCAGGGTTAGGACGTAGGTTCAATTGGGCCACAGGTTTAAGTGTGATTGTGTAGAGATCCAATAATGATCTAAAAAATGATCACAGACCAAAATTTTATATCAATCCTCCACTTAGGGTCATCATTGCCCAATAATTTGGATTACTTACATGCACAAAAAAAAATTAACCTAGTTAGTCAAAATACATTACTTTAGCCTATCATTTACACACAAGTAGAACACAGCTAATCAAATGTATTAAAACATATTATTTTCAAACAATATACAAATTTATTAATTTTTCAGAATATTGTATCTACAACAACAAGAATATATTCAAATCCAAACATTGATAGAACTACATTACATTGTAAATGTGTCATACAACCGAAACATGTAGCACACAATATAACAAACAAGAACAGTAGCAAACTTCACAAGTTTCATATCATTCATTACCAATGATAACACAATGCAAAGAAGCCAATGACAAAACCTAGGAACTGATTTCAAACACTTATTATCAACTAATGAGCTCTTATCTTCTTTTACCACTAAACATTGAGACTTACTTTCAGGATTAAACAATTTCCTATCACTCATAGGTTTATCCACATCTAAGTTCTCAAGCATACTTTTAGGTAAAGAAGATGAATCAAAATTACCTAACATAGAGAACATTTTAGGACTATTCGTAACATCATCTCTAACAAATAGGTAATTTTCAAAATCTCATTACTATGATTTCAAACAATTCCAACATTGCTTTTAATTTCAGAAACTGTATTTTTAGTTTTCCTCACAACAGGTTGGCTAGCAACAGATAAGATTCGAAAATCACCAACAAAAATATCAGTTTCATTATATAAAGCAAACTCCACCTCATTTTGAACACTATAAAAAAACAATATTAATTACATTTTTGGATTCACAAACTCCACCTCAGCAATTTCAATGTCAACAAATTGCACATTTTTGGATTCACAAACAACATGCTGAATATCAGTACATTCAAAACGAAAAACAGATTTTACAGGTTTAATTTCTCTGTTTTCTATATCAACCAAATTATGCTCCACCTTATTTCCTATATTACAAAAATCTATATCAGTTTCAACAGTTTCATAAACAACCAAATCAGATTCTTCATTATTCAAACATGGCATACAACATTCTTTAAATGTCACATTATTACTAATAATAGTTTTAAAACCGGGTCTAGAACTTAACCACAATCTATACCCGTAACACCATAACTTAAGAAAATACAATTTTCAGTTTTCATATCAGATTCATCAATGCAAACATGTATCACAGCAAGACAACCAAACACACGAACATTAGATATGTCGACTATTCTACCCAACCACTTACTTTCAGGAATTTCACCATTAAGAGGGATAGAGGGTGTTCGATACAAAAGATAGGTTGTTGTCACAACAGCTTTACCCCAGAATTTTCTAGGTAAACCAGATGACGTCAAAAGACATCCAACTCTTTTCAAAAGAGTCTGATGTAACCTCTCAACAATCCCACTAAATTGGGATGCCTTGGGGACATATTCAAAATTGATACAATTTTGCACATAAAAATTACTAAACCAGGTGTTACAAAAATTTAAATAATTATCAGTTTTAACATATTTAATTTTTCTGTCAATTTCAACTTCAATTTGAATTTTCCAATTCTTGAAAATTTTAAACAAATTCAGTTTATTTTTCAATAAGAAAATCCAAATTTTTCTAGAAAAATTGTCAATAATAGTTAAGATATATCTACTCCCACCATAAGTGGGTTCATTAGAAGGTTCATATATATCTATATGTATACATTCCAAAATTTGTTTTGAAAAAATATAATTTTCATGGGTTTTTGACAAAAATTGAACTTTATTTAATTTTCCAGTTTTGCATATATTACAAAAGGGAACAATAGAAAATTTCTCATTTTCCAAATAATCAGATTCATGCAGAATTTTCAAGCTATTATTGCTAATATGACCTAACCTCTTATGTCATAATTCAAAATTATCAATTTCAGAATTATTATATCACAACATACATTCATAGGTATAGCAAATGTTACATATAAGTCATTTTTCAATTATGCCCTAAAAATCACTAAAGACCCTTTTGTTATTTTCATGCAATTTAAACTCCACTTTCCTTCTAAACCTAAAGTAGATAATCTAACACATGACAATAGATTATTAGATAATTCAGGCACATATCTCACATCATGCAATTTCAATACATTTCCAAAATTAAATTTCAGATTAATAACACCAATTCCCTCAACTTTACACACACGTTTATCAGCCATAGTCGCATAATACTGTGTTAAAGTCTTAAATTTAGAAAAAATATCTTTCAGATTTGTCATATGGTATGTGCAAGCAGAATCAACTATCCATTCATTAACACTCAAAAAATTAGAATTTAAATCTGGACAAACAACAAACACGTTTCCTAAATCATTATCAATAACAGTCATATTGGCTAACTCACTTGTTGCATTACTATGATTCTTATTACCCTCATTATTATTATTATTATTATTATTATTATTATTATTATTATTATTATTATTATTATTATTATTATTATGTTTCTTAGGGCAATATCTAACAAAGTGTGAAGGATCACCACCATTATATCATTTCTTTCCTCTTTTATTAGGAGTTTTAGATCTATTTCGAATATTATTATTATTATTATTTTGATTTTTTTTATTACCAAAATTCCCAGAATTATTATTCCTATTAGATCTAAAATGAGACCTACCCCTAACAAACATAACATCACCAGTTTTATTAGATTTATTTACATTCAAATCTAATTCTTTACTTTTCAAACCATTAATAACCATATCTAAAGTCACAAAATCACGTCCATATTTAATTGCCGATTTTACATCAGAAAAAGCACTTGGAATAGCATTCAAAAGAATTATAGCACTATAATCATCTATATTCTTATCACCACTAACCTTAATATCTTGAATTAATTTTTGAAAAATATCAAGATTTTCATCAATAGTTTTAGATTGATCAAATTTAAAACTAAAGAACTTTTCTAACAAATAAAACCTACTAGGTAAAGAAGTTTGAGTATATAGTTCATCCAATTTATTCCATAATGCTACAACATATTCTTGCCTACCAACCTTACGAATTACATGATCAGCTAAATTTAGAATTATACAAGACGAAGCCATTTCATCCAACTCAGACCTCTTTTCGAAAGGGACTGTAGTTGTTTGATCTGGCTCCACAACTTTAATTAATCTTTGAGTAAAAAGTATACTTCTCATTTTTTGATTCCAAATAGCAAAATCAATTTTTCCATCAAAAGGTTGAATATTAAAAAATGTTTGTCCAACCATGATTATCAGTTTTCAAAAACAATTTTAGTAAAAAAACAAAAAATTGAAAAAACACAATTTGTTTGGCAAAAATTGTTTGTTTTAAAAAGGCAGTTTATTCTAAAAACAGTTTATCAAAATATAGATTATTTTAAAACAAATTGAGAACCAAACAAACACTCAAATCACAGCACATTAACAACAATTCACAGAAGACAAACACAACAATCAAACACAATAACAAATATATCACAAAATATTGCAATCACATAAAAT